GCTGAGGTAGATATTTTCAGGTCACTTTCCAACCTGAGATTCTAAGGCATTTCTAGAAAGTTAGTATGCATGTGTCCATTCATTCCCTACTCTGGTGAGTATACACTGGTGAATAAAACACACCTAGTCTCTGTACATTTGAATTTATAATCCAGTATGGTAGATTAGATTGTTCATTTCCCCCACCATAATTCTAGAATCCTCTTGATCATCAACCTCCTAAATGGCCAAACCCAGTGCCAAACAGAAAGCCAGAAAACCCCAGTTAGAACTGTCATAGTAGAAAGTATAGTAAGATATAACTTTTGTTTTCCCAAGTGAGCTTAATTGTTTAAAAGCCAGCTGGCTCTCAGGGTCCTGATGCTACCTTTTTATTTCCCTACAAGCAAAGTTCTTCTCTGCCCTGTTCCTTCTCTGCATGTCTCAGCCAAGAGCAGGCTCTGTCTCCAAGTAGCTTTCAGTGACAATTATAGTGGATGTGGCTTCAAGCACCAACTTTGCTGGAGCCAGGGAAACTGGTGGTACCGTGTCATCCATATTGTTTTTCAGAGTAGTAACAATGAGACTGTGAAAGCTTCTCTGGCTAGGCTTTCTTTCCTGGTGCTGTACCCCAGGCTGGGGCTACACTCGAAGAAGACAGCCAAGTCTCATTAGATATAAGGAAGTAGGGGCCCAGGACGCACTAGTTCCTCCTGAGCATCGTGTGGTTACCATAATGCTTCGCTCTCTTTTTCTCTTTTTGAGGTGGAGTTGTGCTCTGTCACCCATGCTGGAGTGTAGTGGCTTCATTCAGAATCTGTCCTCTTGGAAAGGAGCTGCTAGTGGGACAACTGCATCTAGGGAGAGAATAGGTTAATGATGCATCTGTCTACCCCATTAATCTTCACTCTTTTTTTTTGAGTTGCTTTCCTGTTTAGACAGATATTCTTTTTTTTTTTTTTCAGCTTCTCTTGATCTGGTTCAATTTACTCCTTAAGTAGTACCCATCAATAAACGGGGCTTGAGTTGCAGGCTGAGATTCTTTCAATCCTTTCTAGGTAATTCTCATCATGTCCATGAAATGATAGGTGATCCCTCATTGGAGCTCACTAACTCTGAACCCTGAAAATATATTTATCTAACTTACTGTCTGTCCAGAGCTCCAAGCTTCAGGTTTTCTCTCTTCTGTCCTTTGGGAGGCTCTAAATGGCCTTTCATCAGGGGTGCCCATTCAATAATTGCATTTGTCTCTGACCAGGAGTGTTTAGGCTTCACAGATAACAAAGAGTGAGAAGGCTTTGAAGTGTTTATTTTGACAGTAGCACATAAAGCAAGGTAATGTGTACAATGACATTTATTATTCCACAAACATTTGTTGGTTGCCATGGTAGCATAGAGGCAGGCAGGCAGGTTCTGGAGTCAGAACAGTTTAAATTTCAGCTTCATCATTTTCCACATATGTAAATTTGGATAAGGCGCTAGCCACTCTAAGCTTTAGCAACCTAACCTGAATAGTACCTACCTCAAAGAGAATTAAGTGAGATAATATATATTCAGTGGTTGGTATATAGTAAGCATGCAATACTTGTTAGGTATAATAAGCGATAGATACTAGGAATATAGGTAGCTAATAGGTATAATAAGCGATAGATACTAGGAATATAGGTAGCTAATTGTCATAAATCTGGAATAACTGAGTTGGAGCAAGGGTTAAAGGAAATGAAACCTCTGGCACAAATTGAGCACAGTGCTCCTAATTATAAATCTCTTTTCTCTAAATATTTGCTTGTTTATCTTTGTGCTGCCCTGGGTCTTTTCATAGCTATTGAGCCCCATCTGTTCTCATTTATATTCAGCTGCTATTTGGAATATAAGTGTTAATTATCTCTTTAACACCTCACTGCTACTAATTCTGAGTACTCTGTATTCTTGGTTCCTTTGGTTTGCCATCTGCCCAGGTCCCATACTACTTGTCTTCATGATCTCTTCTGTTGTTTTAGTGGTTCTTGACTCTCTTTTAAAAGGAACACATTTAAAATAACCTCCTCCAACTATTATCTTTAAATATATTTTATGATTATAAAAGTAATTATTATCAAAAAGTTGTAAAAATACATGGAAAATAACCCTGTTTTATAACCCTTTGACCTAGATAAAACAAGGATTTATATGTTAAATATCTTTTCTTCCAGTATTTTTTCCCTATATATGTGTTTAAAGCTTAGTATTACACCGTGTAGCAGATGAGAATTTGTAACTACAAGTGATGAAATAATCAACTCAAACTGGGATTAAAATGAAGAAAGAGATTAGCTTACATTACTGAAAATCCAGAAGTAGCATAGAATTTAGGATTCCCTTAACCCAGTGGCTCTGCCTCCATTTTGTGTCTCTCAGCTCTGTTGTCTTCTCCTCCATCAGTTTCTGCTTTAATTTATAAGGCAACATGGCTTCAGCAATCCCAGGCATCACATCTGTACACAAAGGAGGCCAGGAGAAGAAGGGTTGTTTCTTCCTATTGACTCCCTTAAGCATGGAAAAACCTTTCCCAGAAGTTCCCAGCAAATTGTCATTCATGTCTCTTTGGCCCCTGTTGAGTAATGTGCTCATTCCCGAACCAAGCTGTAAGAGATTGGTTTACCAAGATGGCCTAGATCCATGGTTCTTAAATTTGACCACACATCAGCATCCTTTTGAAGACTTTTGAAGCCTTGTTAAAACATGGATTTCTGGGCTCCACCTCCAGTGTTTCTGGTTTAGTAGATCAAGATGGTGCCCAAGAATTTGTATTTGTAACAAGCTTCCAGGTGGTGCTAATGTTGCTGGTCCAGAGGCCACACTTTGAGAACCACACCGGCTTAGAGAAATTAGAGCCCTTTTGGAGATGAGTTCAATCTCTCCAAATATTTTGTGGCCATATAAAACAGAAAGAATGAACTGAATGGTGGGGAGAAAATCAAAGTGTCTATTACATCCTTGACTATTTCCGCCTTATCATAAAACGTGCTTTAAATGTATGGGTTTTATTGGTAAAATAAACCGTGGTTCTTTTATATAAGGGATTATATTATTTAACCAGTCTTCTGTTATTGGACTTGGATAATTTTAGTATTTTGCTATTATATATTACATGGTAAGAAATGTCAATGCCCACAATCATTTGTGTGCTTCTCTGATTATTACCCCCAAGTACATTCCTAGATGTAGAACTGCTCTTCTGGCTATTCTTATCTCACTGACTCAGGGCTCTTTTTTCAAGGGAATACATGTTTCATAACCCCCCACCCCACCCTCTGCTTTCTTAAAGAGCCAGACCTTTATATCTTCTCTACATTGACAAAATCAGTTCACAGAACAGAACCGGCTGAGGTCAGGATGAGGCGGAGATAAGGGAGACTCAGGAAGTAGAAAGAGCAGCACAAGGCCAGACCCGTGAGAGTGCAGGGCTTGCTCAAGGAGCTGGAAATCTGCATGAGGATCCGTGGAGTAGTGAAAGGTGAACTTGGAAGGGATACTTGGGACAATCTGAACCAGAATCTTTCTTTCTGGGTTGTGTTTTCTAAACTTCAGTCATTTGCTTTATAGCAATTAGAATTTTTGTCATATCTGTTTCACTTGTATTATTATAATAGTTTTTTAGTCAAGTCTATTATGTTAACTAATTTTTAAGAGAAACTTTGTATCACTAGTGTTAATATTAAACTGTTATCAGTTACCACACATAGAAAAATAACATATTTGTGATAATTTTATTAAAATTTTAACTCAATATTGTTGCACAAGTTCTGAACTGGTAACCTGTTCTCTCTTTGTTACGGGGAAGATGTACATGTATTAAGAGGTGTTAAAAATGAACCATCTCCAAATATGGACTGTTTTCTTGATACCATTAGAAAGATTAAAGAAAGAATTGCAAAGAAAATAACTTTATTTAGTATAAAATTTTGCACTCTGTAAAATCACCAGCATTCCACTCTCAGGACATGAACTAGGTGAATATGTCTCAAACTTCGGAACTCCCTAAAGAGCTTATTAAAAAGATCCACTATGGATTTAGGACATCTGGGGCTGGTGGTGGAAGGCAGGCCTAGGGATCTGCATTTTACCAAGTCTTCAGGCCATTCTCATGTTTACCTTCGTTTAAAGATGCACATACATTGTAGAAAACTACTAAGCTATTCTCCTCTCATTTTTAGAAAGCATTTTATTTAAAAATAACTAAACTTGTAGAAAAGGGGCAAAAATAATACAAAGTCTTTCTGCTATACCCTTTATCTGACTGATTGTTAGGATATTCTCATTCACTTTATCATCCTCTCTCTCTCTCTGCATGCTCTGTCACCTCTCACTGTATTGTCTGTTTTTCTTTCTCCATATAAATAATATGTATGTAAAAATACACATATGTAAAAAATAGCTATGTATTTTCCCCTGAACTATTTGATAATAAGTTAAATACACCATGCATTATATTTAATACATGGTGTATAATACAGGAAATACACCGTGTATTATAGAAATAAAATACACATTTTATTTCTATACTTCATTGTGTATTTCCTAAGAATACAGATATTCTCTTGTATAACTACAGAACAGTAATTAACTTCAGGACATTTAATATCGATGTGATGTTTGTCTCTCTATAGTCTCTATTCCAATTTTGTCAACTGACAACAACTATAAATCAATACAGTAATAATGCCCCATATAATGGTTTTGGCCTCCAGTGTAGAATCCAGTCTTTGGTCACATGTTTTATTTAATTGTTACATATACTTAGTCTTTAACCTGGAACAGTTCCTAAGCCTTTCTTTATTTTACAATACTGACGACTTTGAAGAATGGATTCCTTTGCCTCTGTAACAGAATACTCATTATTTTGGGTTTGCCTGATATTTCCTCACATAGAGCCTCATAGAACCAGGCTATGCATTCCCAGATGGAATACTCTGTAAGTGATTTTGTGTCCGTCTCAGGGCATCACATCTAGAGGCACACACATTCATCTGCCACAATCTGGTGATTTTAATTTTGATCGCCTGGTCAAGGTGTTGTCTGACTTCTCTGCTGTATAGCTGGATTTTTTTTTCCCTTGCAACCAACAGATAATCTGGGGGAGGAAGAAGCTTTAGAGCTAAGCAAACATTCTGCTCTTCACTATAAAGCAAAGATCAGCAATGTGGAAAAATGGACTGAACTGAAGGGAAAAGGTGGCAGAAAAGTCAGCTAAGAGCCTATTGCCGTAAACCAGATAGTCTGGGAGCATCTGAGCAGAAGAGCCGCTGAAACCATGTGAGTGGATGTGGTTGCCCAGACAATCCTGGGTCTCAGTCATCATTTCCATAGATTATTTGATCTATTATTGTAAATGAAAATTTTGTGTATTTTGCAGTTATTGAACTAGTGCAAATAGTGTTCTACATATACTAATCATGTTAATTTTTTTATACTAAAGGAAATAGATATGTAAGTTAATTATGACAGTCATATTATTTACTTATCTTTATTGATTTTTTTTGTCAACTAATTTTTTATCAGGTACCAAGAAAAATGTGCTAAAGTTTCCTGCTATGATGATGCATTTTTCTCTTTTCTTTCTGTTTTGTCAGCTTTTGCTTTATCACTTTTGAAGGTATATTTTATGCATACTTTACAACAATCCTTTTATGCCCTTATATGCAGAGAGTATGTTTTGTGAACAGTATATAAGTATATTTTGCTTCTTCATACAGTCTGACAATCAATGTCTTATAATTGAGGTATTTGTTCAATTTACATTTAATTACTGAGATTGTTGTGTTTAATTATATCTTGCTATTTAATTTCTATTTGATTTGTTTTTATGTTTATTTTTGGTCAAATAATTATTTCTGCTATATTTATTCTATTCTATTCACTTTTTAATTAGATATTGTTTTATTATGCTTTCAGTGGTCTCCCTAGAAATTACATTACATATCCTGGATGTATTACAGATTCTTTTAGAATGGTATTTTTCCACTTTCCAAGTGATGCAAGAACCTTACAACAGTTTAACTCAATTTACCCTTCTCACTTTTTGTGCTATTCTTGTTATATATATATATATATTTTAAGCTCACAAAATGACTCACTAATCCTCTGTTCTTCCTTTTGTAACTTCTATTAAATACATATTTCAAATTCTTAGTATCATTTATACTATTTTAAGTTTTAAAATTTTTATTTGACATTATTTAATAGAGTCCAGGTCTTTGCCAAATATCTGTATTTTTATTTACTATTTTGAACATATTAACCATAGTTCCTTTAAGGTTTCTGTCTGATACCTTTACTACCTAATCATCTGTGGATCTGTTTCTACTAATCCTTTTCTCTTGATTTTGAGTCATTTGGTCCTATTTCTAATTTCTTTTAATTTTAAAATATTTAATTGTCAAATAAAGATTTGTTCCTTTTAAAATCATCCCTGTTAATTTTTTCTTTATTTCCCACAATGGATAAAAGTTGTAGAAGTTCTAGATAAAGTTATCTTTCTCCAAAGAGTCTGAATTTCTCCTAGCAAGCACATAGAGTATGGGTGAATCATCTTGATCTTGTCATAGTCTTTCCTATGATTGACCTGTTTGAGTTGCCCTTACTCTTAGAGGGTGGTTGTTATTATTCCCTAACAGCCCTTAAGGTACCTCAGGATTTTTTACAAAGACCTGTCCATCTTGATGGGGCTTGAACTCCAATCTTCATCTTTTCAGTACCATATGATGGCTGAAATATTTGCTCATAGTTTTTGGCTTCCAGTTGATTTGATTTTTTTTTTCTACTGCTTGGCTTGAAGTCCCAATCGCATAATACAGTTTACGATGTGATCCATAATTTAAGAGGAATATGGTCCCAGTGCCCAGACTCTATTGTCTCTGGGATTTCACCCTCAGATCCCAGCTGCTTTGTCAGTCCTGAGTTCTGGCTTTTACCTATTCAGCCCAGTAAGTTTGCCATTTTCTTCTCAGGCTCTATTCACCTGCACTATAAACTGGAAAATACTGTCAGGGAAAAAAGCCAAGATGAATAGCCCCTGCTATGGTTTGAATGTGTCCCCTCCAAAATTCATGTCGAAACAGTCCCCATTGTGGTGGTATTAAGAGTTGAAGCCTGAAGGAGGTGATTAGGCCATGAGGGCTCTGCCCTGATAAATAGATTATTGCTGTATAAAAGGGCTGGAGGGAACGAATTTAGGCCTTTTTACTCTTCTGCTCTTCTGCCATGTGAGGACAGTGTTTGTCTCCTTTGTGCCCTCTGCTCCCTGTGAGGACACAGCATTCCTCCGCTTTGGAGGATGCAGCAACAAGACACCATCTTGAAAGCAGACAGCAAGACCGGGTGTGGTGGCTCATGCCTGTAATCCCAGCACTTTGGGAGGCCGAGGTGGGTGGATCACTTGAGGTCAGGAGCTCAAGACCAGCCTGACCAACATGGTGAAAGCTCGTCTCTACTAAAAATACAAAAATGAGCTGGGTGCGGTGGCTCACACCTATAATCCCAGCACTTTGGGAGGCCGAGGCGGGCGGATCACTTGAGGTTGGGAGCTCGAGACCAGCCTGGCTAACATGGTGAAACTCTGTTTCTACTAAAAATACAAAAATTAACTGAGTGTGGTGGCTCACACCTATAATTCCAGCTACTTAAGAGGCTGAGGCAGGAGAATTGCTTGAACCCAGGAGGCGGAGGTTGCAGTGAGCTGAGATTGGGCCACTGGACTCCAGCCTGGGTGTTGGAGTAAGACTCTGTCTCAAAACAAAACAAAACAAAACAAAGCAAGGCAGACAGCAGCCCTCATCAGACATCAATCCCATTGGTTCCTTGATCTCAGATTTCTCAGCCTCCAGAATCATGAGAAATTAATTTCTATTATTTATAAATTATTCTGTTTGTGGTATTTTTTTATAGCAGCATAGATGGACTAAGATAGCCCCTTTCCAGAATCTCTCCAGAATCACAGCTTTTCATATTTTGCCTGCATTGATTGCTATACATTGGGTTCTAACAGTTTTTACAGATTTTGTGCAGCTTTTATAGTTGTAGTTAGCAGGAGGGTTAGTCCTGTTGACACTTCTTTATCAGAGCAGGGCTTGGAAGTTTTATATCAATTTTAAGTGAAGAAATTAAAGTTCAGAGAAGTTATGTAAATCGCCCAGGGTCAAATAGCTTGTAAATGGCAGAGCTAGGATTTAAACCTAGGTCTCTGTGACTCCCAAGCCTATGTTCTTATCCACTATAATTACTATATTCTTTTCATAATAGTTACTATGTATTAAGGGCCTATTAGGTGCTAGGGAGTGTTCACTGCTTTCTGAATTATATCTTTCTTTATAAAAACCCTATTAAAGACGCTATCCCTACTTTACAGATGTGGAAACTGACCTCAGAGTTCAAGTCTCTTTTTCTAGGGTATTCCATATATGGATTTGAATCCAATCCCTTTAGACTCCAAATGTCCACCATCTACCACCGTTACATTAGAAATTGATTATTATGCACGTGAATGTGGCCAACTACTTCTCTGAATCCTGGCATTCTAGTTTGTAAAATGTGAATACCAAATATTCTTTGAACTCTCTAATAAAGCTTTGCATTGCAAAGGATATCATGGATGAGAAGACAATGTAAAGCTACATGGTATTTCACAGAGGCAAGTGTTAACTGATGGATGTTTTTTCAACTCATGCTACGATGTTACTAATTCAAAGGTAAATTTATCTTTTCCTCTGCACACTGTAATTTTTCTAATTTTTACTTTATTTGACTTGATTTTAATAAATATTTATTCAACAGCTATTATTTGCCTAGCACCCCAGGAGAAACAAATATTGGCAGTTCAGCCTATGTCTTCTACAAGTCTAATAATCTCACCAGAGAAACAAAGATCACAAGCCTGAGACCATTATAGTGTAACAGTAATAGAAATAAATAGACCAAGTGCTATGTTAAACACAAACAAGCACTAAAATATGTGGCAGAGACACTTTTGTTGGTGTTCAGGAACGGCAGGAAGATCTTAACACTCAGAAGTCAGATTCTATAGTTGGCCTGCCTGAATTAGAATCCAAACTCTATTGCTTCTTAACTATATGAACTTCAGCAAGTTTCTTTCTTTCTTTTTTTCTTCTTTTCTTTCTTTCTTTCTTTCTCTCTTTCTCTCTTTCTTTCTCCTTCCTTCCTTCCTTCCTTCCTTCCTTCCTTCCTTCCTTCCTTTCTTTCTTTCTTTCTTTCTTTCTTTCTTTCTTTCTTTCTTTCTTTCTTTCTTTCTTTCTTTCTTTCTTTCTTTCTTTCTTTTTCTCTTTCTCTCCCTTCCTTCCTTCCTTCCTTCCTTCCTTCCTTCCTTCCTTCCTTCCTTCCTTCCTTCCTTCCTTCCTTTCCTTCCTTCCTTCCTTTTCCTTCCTTCCTTCCTTCCTTCCTTCCTTCCTTCCTTCCTTCCTTCCTTCCTTCCTTCCTTCCTTCTTCTCTTTTTTCTTTTTGACAGAGTCTTGCTCTGTCACCCAGGCTGGAGTACAATGGCGTGATCTCGGCTCACTGCAACCACTGCCTCCCATGTTCAAGCAATTCTTGTGCTTTGGCCTCCTGAGTAGCTGGGATTATAGGCACATGCCACCATGTCTGGCTACTTTTTGTATTTTTAGTAGAGATGGGGTTTCATCATGTTGCCCAGGCTGGTCTTGAACTCCTGACCTAAGGTGATCCACCCGCCTCAGCCTCCCAAAGTGCTGAAGTTACTTACTTTTCTAAGTCTTGTTCTTTTAAAAATGGAGAAAATAGTATCAACTATCTAGTAGGGTTATCATGAAGAATTTATGCATGTAAATGTTTAACACAGTGCCTTACTAAATACAGACTTTCTGTAATTCTTATTATCAAATTTAAAATATTTATTAATTATTATTACTGGGTATTTGGATGATGTTAGAATTTGGTTTGAACAGGTGTAGAGAAGAATTATTTAGGAGGTAGAATTGTCTGTAGAAAGACGAGCCCATTTTCCATAGTGCTAATTAGATATGGGCAGGAGGAGGAACTGCTAGACACATTTATGACCATTTAGAAAAAAGACTATTTAGAAAATGGTCTTTGGCCCCTTCATTGCATTTGGCACTAGTGTCACTAATCTCTTTGCTAAATCAGTGCTATCACCTGTGGATATGAGAGTTGGCAAGGAAGAAGCAGGGAAAGTAGGCAATGATATTTTCCCCTAAGGTTCTCACTATGCCTTCTCTGTTTCTAGTGGGGTCTTACTGAAAGCTTTAGAATTCCAAGTTCTTTCCTTGCCTTCTCTCTGGCATTCCCATGGGACTGAGGGTTGCTTGTTCCGGGGAGTTAGGTTCACTTGTCTGCAGGGTAAAGTCTTATATTTTTTAATATATATATTTATAATGAGTAGAAAGATGAGTATTCAGCTTTCTAAATCTACAGCTCATAGAATAGCCATATAAAAAATGCCCACCCTTATATTCTCATAATGTTTAAAACTCACTGAAAGACAAAGTGGCTCACTGGATTTCAGCTTCTGCAAATGTTAATGCTCTGCTCTTTCCCCCACTCCATTACTTTAAGGCTAGCAGTATGGCTACCACATCTGCACTGGCTCCGATCTCTAGTACAAGTGTCCTGAGGAGAAAGAGGCAACAACAGAAGCCCTTTGCTTATGAGAAGCTGAAAAAAATCAGCAAGAACTCACTATTAGGATAGTTGCTTACCTACCTCCTCCTCCTCTAATCATAGCACTGGTGAATTATAATGTAAGAAATGTTCCCACATAAAACTGTTATTCCCTGGGGATTAGAAGTTAAAGCTTAAACATAAAGAGTTGTTTTGTGGAGTAAGGAGGATTGACAGTGGTGTTCTGGTTGCCAAGGTCTTTGCACCTCCCCGCTTTCTCCCTTCTCTGAGCTTCTTTGGGCTGACACAGATAGGCGTTTGGGTTTTTCCTGTGTTTGAAGCCTGGCAAAGTAGCTGGTCGTCCCAGGGGTCAGGCCAACGTAACAGTATGTTTGAGAGCATGAGTATTTCAAAAGAAAAACAACATCGAATTTTTATCATAAGCAGAAATATTAGGGAAAATATTAGTGAAATATTGGGGAAAAAACACCTCCAACCCAGATAACCAAGAATGCCACATTAACCTAAAAATAGATTGGGGAAGATATTAAAATTATGAAACAAGAACAAGCAATCACAAAAATAACCAAGCAGAAATGTAAACTGTTTCCCCTGGGGGAACTGAGCAAAGTATATAGGGATCTTGCTATATTATTCTGTACAGCTATGTGACTCTACAGTAATTGCCCTAAACATTTCAATTCAAAAAGGTGAAAGCTCATTTCATATTGGAAGGGTTCATGAAATGCCAAAGAAGAAAGAAGAAAAGCCCCACACCTAGGAATATTATAGTGATGTTTAAGAATATCAAAAACAGAAAAATTACAAAAGTTTCCAGAGAAGAAATCACATACAAGGGAATAAACATAAGACAGATTTTTCAACAGAGCCCCAAATGCAAGAAGACAATCAAGTATTTAAAAATACTGTTTAAAAGCAAAAAATAATGAGAGAATAAGAATACATCTTAGTAGCTTAAAGCATATGTAAAACAAATGTGATAGGTGTGTGGAGACAAGATCAAATGTTGTTAGAATATGCTAAATTTCTTATTATATATTATATGTTATAATTGGAAATAAGAAATTATAATTGGTAATAAGATAGAATTAACACAAAATATATAAAAATATATAAATATATAAAAAGAGGAGTAAAAAATCACAAATAATGTAAACGGTCTAAGCTTCCGGCTTGAAGATAAAGATAGACAAACTAGTTTTAAAAAGTCCAGTTACATGCGGTTCACAAGAACCACACCTAAAGTATAATATCACACACAAATTGAATGTAAAATAATACATTTAAAAAAAGACATATCAAACAAAGACTAATGAAAGAATGCTGGAATAGTCATATTCACATCAGATTATAAATAATAATAGACTTTATTATGTAATAACATTGTATTATAAATAATGTAAAAATATAGAATAAAAACAGAAAGATTTATCAGGGATGGAGAAGATCACTACATAATGATAAAAGAATCAATTCGCCGAAAGATTCAACAATTTAAATATAACACAACTGTTTAAAAGAATTCGATGCAAAAATTGGTCAAACTTCAAGGAGAAATTGATAAATACACCATTATCATGGGAGCTTTTAATCTTCGTCTGTCTTAATTATTGTTAAGAAGACAAAAATATCCACAAGGGGGTAGAAGATCTGAACTATCCAATTAATAAGCTCAATACGATGGACATATACAGTAGATCAAACAAGTGCATCATAGTGACATAAACAATGTAGATGGACTTTACAATACAACATGAAGTGAAAAAATGTTCTAAATAGTCACATACAGCATGCTACTCTTTATGGTGTTGAAAACCAGGAAAATAAAAATAAATAATTTTTAGAAGTGTATACAGATGCGATAAAGCAAAGAGAAGCAAAGAAAGGATGAGCGTGAAATTCAGGACAATGATTACATTGGGTGGGTGGAGAGGAAGGAGATGAAGTCCATGTCGTTAGATATAGAGTTTTGTCAAAATCCCAGAGTTTATTGAGGGCTGGCGGTTTATGTGTGCCACTAACATGGTTAAGATGAGTTAATTAAAGAATTAGCCACATAAATAAAAGCTGCCCATCCATTTAAAATATACTTCATTTAAATTATTTTGAGGAAAATGGTGCTGTGAGGACAAAGATAAGCAGCAATGCGCTGCCTAAGAAAGTCAAAGAAGAGTTGGAAAAGGTGCTTCTATTTGAGCGGCTACTTCAAGACTCAGCAGAAATTGATCATGCATAAAAAGGAGGAAGGTCATTCCATGCAAATGAAGTAGCATAATGGAAGCATTAGAACAGAGAGAATTTGGTGTCTGTTGATGGATTTCCAATAGGCCATGCAGTAGTTAATGAGAACCTGCCAGAATGGGGAACGTGAGAATGGAAAACATGAAATGAATCTAAGGAATCACTGGACATAGAATCGTTTTGATGACAAATCAAGGAGAATAACAACCAGCACTCTGTCTACCACACAATAGGCACACAGTGAAGGGAACTGGTTGTTTCTACTGCTGATCATTGAGGGTGATGTCTGAGTTTCTAACTTGGTAACAAAATAGATGTTAATAGCATTTTCTGAGATGACATGGGAAAAAGAAGAGGTTCTGGGATAATTGCAAATCAAGGCTGTTTCAGGTGTGCTAAGTTTCAGGTACAGTCAGTTCTGTTAGAATGTGACATATGTGTTCCTAAAAATCATCGTGCCACATAAAATTGTACAATAAAAACCACAGAGTTTAAGGGGAGAATGAGGTTCAGAGTACAACACTTGAAAATTAATCAGTGATACATTAAAAAAGAAAATAGTAACCTTGCAAAGATGATAGCATAGTTTTACACATGTTGGATGGCTAAAAAATTCTTAAAATCTGCAGTAAATATAACATTTTACCTTGCAACAGACCTAAAGTTTTGCTTATGAAAGTGAGCAACAGAAAGATTGCAGCTTGTGAATTACTGTGAAGTGGAGGGAGGGCTATCTGAAACTAGAGAAAGTTATGACACCAGATGTGCTTACATGTGGCTCACAATGTACATGGTCAACTGAGGTAGGTGGTAGATGTTTGGGGTAAATTCATGTGTGCATTTTGTGTATTCTTACATGCCTCCATTGAGTAGGATGCAGTTTTCTGAGTTCACCTGGTGTTTCTTGCAGAGGACATTATTTCATAAAAGCAAATGTGAAATTTGTGATATGTTGGAATTGCTCCCTAACAAATCAATCATATTGCAACGCACTTTCAAAACAAGCATTATAAAAGAACTGACTCTACCGATACTGAGAGGCAATTAGGAGAGAGATAAGGTATGCCAAAAGTCTTTAAAAAAGTTATGTCTCTTAATCCAGCAATGTCACCATTAGGAATTTATCCTAAGGAAATATTCAGAGATGTTGCCCATGAACAAATAAGAAGTATTTTAGAATAGTGAAAAACTGAAAGAAGGTTAAGGTCAACAATATAGGTTGAGTTAAATAAATGATGGTTATCCATTACTGGAATATTATGTTGTCATTAACAATCAATTTGGAGAAGGACATATTTGGGAAGTGTCATGTTCCACAAGCCTTTTTAAAAATGGAATATTAGTTTTGTGAAACCTATAAATATACACACATATAGAACAAATACTGAAAAAAAATATTTTAACTTTTTCTTTGCATGGTGAAGTTTTGGATGTTTTATCTTTGTGTCTTCCTGTTTTTCTAATATTTCAGCAATGAAATATTGAATTTTTCTAATTTCTGTTTTTCTAATATTTCAGCAGTGATTTAAACTAGAAAGTACAGCTTAGCTTGATTCAGGACACTTTTGCTATCTCTAGGATTCATCTTTCAGCTCAACTTCACCATAGTGCCTTTGTGGCCAGGCTGTCCCTCTCCACCCTTATAGGAGCTGGGAGAAGGCTGCTGGCTCATGTCTAGCAGAAAAGAGACTGTGTATATTTGTATTATTATGAGAAAATCCACTCAATGTTTAAAAAGCATGAGGAAGGGCATTATTGATGGGCAAGGTCACTGAAGTCAAAGATAGAAGTGTGTCCAGGAGCTGGGCATGGTGGCTTATGCCTGTAACCCCAGCACTTTGGGAGGCTAAGGTGGTAGGATCACTTGAGCCCAGGAGTTCAAGACCAGCTTGGGGAACATAGTGAGACCTTACCTATATTAAAAAAGGTACATATACATATATATATATATATATATATGTGTATAAATAATACATGTAAATTTCATATAAAGAATATGTATATAAATTACCAACATACACATATACACATGAATATATGAAGTATGTCCAGTGCACCTGGGGAGAGAAACTAGCCTGGGATAGCGAGACACACATACATTTTTTTTCCTGCAGCAAGAGGGCTGTGTGTGGATGTGGAAAGATTGCTCCATTTCCTCCCAGCTCTAATACTCTCTGATCCTCTAGAGATGGACTATGCCTCCACACCCCATGCTAACCTAATTAGCATTCTAAACAGGGATGTGTTTGGTACATTTAATTTACATCACTCATTCCGGAAAATGTAATACTTTTTTTGTTGTTCCACCTTTAGGGAAATCAACTGGACATTATCCTTCAGCCTCCAGAGTGTCATTATCATTAAATCTATCCTTGGCCTTCTCCAGCAGAGTGGTCTGTCTCTTTTCTACATAACCCGCAGAGTTGCTATGATGATCTGCAACGGGGAATGAACCATGCCCAGACCACAAGGAAGGGAGGAGGCATGCCATGTGTGAGGTGAGGAGTGTCTGAGCCTGAAGTTCTCTGTCAAATATGGTGCATTATGTCGTGTTGAATATCCATCAATACAATCCTTTGTTTACTATGCTCTTTCCATGTGCTGGTGGATTTAAGGGAGGAAGACAGTCCAGTTGGAAACATGACTGGACGAATGAGGTTTGGTTAAGAGCTTGTTTATAAGAGTTGGTCAGAGAGCAAGATGCCTATAGTCAAGTCTTTGCAGTGACTCTTAAGTGTTTTGTGGACCAACTGATGTTCTTCAGGCTCATTAGGGGTATTAGGATAAAGATTCTTAGACTCCAAAACCTACTGAGTCAGAATCTTGAGGGAGTGGCTCAGCATTTTAAATATGTTTTCTCCTCTTCCCTCCCCTTTATGTCCATTGAAGTAGGAGAATTGTTGGTTTCCAGAGGAGGCTTCATGGAAGAAGAAGGATCTGAGCCAGGTATAGAGAGGAGCAGGAAGGACTTTCCAGGTACAGGAGAGCTGGCACAAAGCCAGAAAGTTGTGGAGCAAGAGTTGTGCAGGCAGTGTGCAATTCGGATGGAGCAAATGGTAGTACCTGTTTGTTAATATGCACAGTAAGCCTAAAAAAGTGATTGAGACATGATAGTGGAAAACCAATCAACAGTTCTCTATCACTTTGTTTGTTTGATGAAATACATAGGACTTTTTGTATTTATCAGCACAACACATTGTACTAAGCATGTGAAGACTTTGATACCACCTCTTAACTCATCTTCTACCTGGCAAAACTCACGTTTTCAGGAAATTAAAGCAATCAGTGCCATAATCTTTTTTGTTGTGGTATTCACAAAAAAATTTAACAAGCATGCATACGAGCAAATGAACTACTTAAAGTATTAAAACATTGACATATATGAGGAAAACAAAGTAAAAATAAGTTTTTCACAATTAAATTTTATCTTTGACAATGAGTTTTAGCTTTTTCTGTTAGGTGTCTATTCTACTTCTACAAAAGCAAGAATATTCTCTGAAAGAACATGCATAAATAAATCCTGTTATATTATATTGTTAAATAATAAAAGAAGTGACCAGTTCTGACATCTCATTAATATGTGCATGTCACTGCATCATTGCTTTGCATTTGCTGTAATCACAGATTTGTTGGTGCCATGAATGTTTCTCATAGTATTCTTATTCATGTAAAATGAATAATGTAAAATGTAAAGTGATGTAAAATTTCCATGTAAAATGATGGAAATAAACTGCTCACTCTTCTTTTATTTATCTCTGATGTTTTCCTAATTAAAAATTAGCTGACCTCCTCAGTGTGTTCAGGAGATTTGTTAGCCATTGAAAAATCTGTGGAGCCTGTGTTGAGCCTGCTATGTAGAGTTGCCAACTGGAGAAGCAGCTCAATCATGTCTTCACCTGCATTATGATCTGTGACTTTTGCTTTGAGTCTCATGTTCAAAGCTATAGTATATTTTCTCAATCACAGGCAGCTTCATGTGGGTGACGTGGCCTCTTCATCATTCAGTGAACTTGCTATTGGCAAATTAACTTTCATCTGAATTGACTTGGATTCCTATCTTTACCTATACTTACTATTTCAAATGTGCTATTTAAATTAGGTGAAAGTTCTTCAGCTGTTATTACAAGATGAGGTAACAAACAGAAACTTAATGTATTATGATTCAACCATATACTATGTGAGTAAAACTAAAAAAAGTGACTTTACTATGTGAGTAAAATTCTAAAAAATGAAAGTCACTGAAAATCAAATTTATAACATTTTAGTAATTCATAATTGTTGCAAAATGAAGAGTACAGGTAGGAGGCCATGAGTCATATGAAATTCCCACTTTGCTGGCTAAAATAACTCACCCATTTTTCTCTTAACTTGGGAATGTCTACGATGAGTCAATGAAAGTGACTTTATTATAAAGTGTACCTTTTAATTTGGTTTAATATGGAAAATTAATATATTGTTTGCAATCTTCATTAGTGTAAATGTTTTTAATGTGATGATGTGCCAGCCCTGAAAGCTGATGGACACTACCCACAGAATCGTGGAGGCTGGCAGTGGAGGAGTCCCTTACAAGGTTGTGACATGATAAAACTGACATATAAACTGTAGGCTATGCACGATGAGATGAGGGTTGTGGGGACTGGAGCAGGGAGAACAATGAGAAGATTATTTCAATAACTCCAGGACAAATGATGTGAGCCTTACTGGCTGTTGGCAGTGAGATTTGGAAGAGAAGACAGCTGGGAGAGAGAAAGTGGCAAGAAGTCTTTGGAGGAGGCCAATGGGAAGACACATACGGCCTCTATAAGACAGGAATATTTTCCTGTGGTGTTCTGTCTCCTGAGGAATGTAAAAAGAACAAATTGGGACAGTAATATGCTCTGTGTGGCAGCAAATATTCAGGTTACTCTGGGGAGAGACATGAAAAACCTCTGTTTGCAAGGACTACAAGTCATTTCCATCTCCCTGGGCTGAGTGAAAGCCCCAGCTGTGTGATTTCTTAGCCAATTATGGAAACTTGTACAGCAATTGCCATGCACTTAATGCAAGGCCACAAATCTGGGGCAACTTTCAGCTTTGAAGGTGTTCTTATTTCATCTGCAATTTCCTTTATACGATTCTCACTTACAGGGACATAACAGTGTTGTCAAGGCAGACTATAAGGCATCTCCTCTCATACTTCTACTCCTAACCTGCTTCCTGAGAGGTAAATGCTGTGCAGCTTCCTGTGTTCCCATCAGGGTGCTACAGTCAGGGGCTTGAGCTGGGGCTGGGTAAGGAAGGTAGCTGCCCCAGAAAGGCCCCCTTAGTTGGCAACGTGTTCCACCAGGGAAGGATCCTGGCCTGAGATTTGGAGTCCCTTTATGTAAAGAGAAGTTGACTGTGCAGAACTGAGCACACCATACAAAGCCACTGAAATTTGCTAAAAGTAGGCTCCTAATGCCTTTACCATATTTCTGTTTTGATTTTGCCTGATGCCTTCTTGAATCTCTTACCTTGAACTGTGAAAACAGTGGTTCATAGTTCTCCTGCCATGCTATGCTCACAAACTTTGTTTTAACTATAATTTACCCAGCCTGTCTGACCTCCTGACTTTCTATGGGCCTGATTTCTAATGACCCAGCCCAGTCAGCATGAAATAGTTTATCCCTGTATGAACAGGGTGGAAGGAGACTCTTCTTCATTCTCTTTTCTTATTCTTCCTTTTCAGAATAATAACAGTGGTAAAAAGCATAGAAATAACTTTCTCAAATTATATTCAAGGGGAATAATTAGAAAGGAAGCATCTGTCTTCATATCTAGGTAACAGTGGAGACAAGGGTGTTTGCAGGGGTCTGTCCACAGCCCCTGACCCAATGATGGATGAATAACCTACACTGATACAGGTATTATGCTTGTCAGTCCAGCTGAGGGTCTGGGCCACTTACAGACTCCAAGGAGAGTGCTGTGAAGAGTTGCAGCCATGGCCCTGACTCACTGGCCCTGCTGGCTTTTATTCAGCACACATTAAATGACAAAGGCTTTGAGTCAGCATAGAGGGTAACCAACCGGGTCGCCTTCCCCCAGGGAGCCATGCTGCCCGCGAATGATCAAAGGTTAGTTTTAGGACCACATGAGTAAACAAGTTATTTAGATAAACTTCTCTACATTCCTATGTGTCTCCTCTAAGTTATTTACTCAAGGTAAGGATTAGTCTGCTTTCAGCCATAACCCTATCCTGAGACTTTTGCAAAAACCTTCCAGCCTTCCAAGAAGATTTGTGTCAATATCCTATAACTTCATCTTAAAACTTTTCCCACCAGCCTAACTGAACTCCCACAGGTGTTACTGTCCAGAACAGCTGTCCTGGGTGAATATCTCTGAAGGAAACTGCATTAGGCTGCAAAATGGCTTCCCAAAGATATGTCTACATTTAATTCCTGGAACTAGTAAATTTCCCTTCCTTGAAGAAAAAAAAATCTTTGTAGATGTGATTAAGTTAAGGATCTTGAGGTGAGATCATTCTGAGATTTTTGGGTGGTCCTAAATCCAATCATAAGTGTCCTTATAAGACAGAGGCAGAGGGAGATTCCAACACACAGAAGACGAGGAGGAAGTGTGGCCACAGAGGCAGAGTGAGGAGTGATGCAATCACAAGCCAAGGAATGGTGGCAATCGCCAGAAGCTGGAAGAGACCAGGAACAGACACTGCTCTAGAGCCTCCAGAGTAGTGTGCTCTTGCCAACATGGATTACAGCTCAGTAAAACTGACTTTGAACTTCTGGCCTCTAGAGCTGTGAGAGAATACATTTTTTAAGCTACCAATTCTGGTAATTTTTATAGCAGCCACAGAAAACTAATGCAGTAATGAGCTGCTGTATCTGCACTTGGCTTTAGTTCAGAGTCCTACTCTCTAACTATGGGAAGTGGCATATATAGAATTTGGGGAAGGAAGAAGTTACAGAAAGCATTCTCCTCATCCCCTGGTCTTCATAGAATCTGAAAGTTAGACATGGAAACAACAACTTTAAATCATCCAGTGTCTACCACACTTTTTTTTATCCTTCCCTCCAGTGACCGATTACCTACTCTGAATCAAGAGCACTGACAGGCATTGACATGTGGATTTTCCCTATTCCAAAATGTCTTCTTCCAGTTAAGTCCAACCTTTCCCACCTGATCATTACCTTGAATTTATACCATGTGGATGAGCCTCTTTGATAAGAAAATGTGAAAAAAAATAGGCTGATAAGGATAGCTGAGTTGGTAAGAAGACTGCTATAGCTTTCCTTTATTTTTCCCATCAACCATAAGTGGCCAACTTTCCATGGCTCTGGAATTGGGTCAAATCAATAAAAAAGCATTGACTGAACCAATCAATCAAGCCTTGAACTGGAAACCACATCTTAGCAATGAAAGAACAGGAAGACACACAACTTTGGGTAATGGGAAAATTCCAGATCAAAGCAGAGTCATTCTGGGGCAATGGCTAGCGCTTGATTTTCTGTGGGTCTCAATTTTTCAGTCTGCACAGTGAAGGATCTGGATTAGAGTATTTTACTTCTACAGCACTAGAGAATTAACAATGTTAGGTCTGAAATGGATGTGCTAGATCACCTTGTATGTTCCAGCCACTTTACAGATCTTGAGAGTGAGGTCTACACTGTAGGAATGACTTGTCCGAAGCCACAAAGCAAGGCATTGGTGGAGCTTGATTAGAATCTAAAACCTGGGCTGCTGATGCAGGCTTTCTTGATTATACTAATGGGTTTTTAATGGAAGAGACTGATTCATGGATGGATGTCAAGATTTCTGTAAACTCCCTGAATTTGTATGCCAACATGTTTTGAATGTCTATACATTTTTATAAGCAAAAGAACATCTTTATCATGATCTCCAAAAATGGCTGAGAACTTTTCAAAAAGCTATCCATTAATTAATCCAACAAAGATTTATTGTGCCTTGGCTGCCTGTTACCAAACATTTTGGATGGAGCAGTGGACAGAGTGGGCAGAGAGGTCTCTGCTCTAAAGGAACTTATATTTTACAGGAGGGAGTGATGGACAATTAACGAGTATGTCAAGTGGTGATATTGTATGTCAAGTGG